CACTGGAGCCCTCGACCAAAATGCCAATGGGACGTCTCCGTTGGATTATTGCTGAAAATAAAATCTGTGGCAAATAAAGTTTATGATACTTACATGTTTTCTTCAGCAGGATAATCTTCACAAATGAGCATCGCTTGCATGATAGTTTTTAAAGTCTAAATGCCATCACCAGGAGTAAAAAGCTGACGTAGGGCTATAAACGAACTAAACCACATGTGAGCATACCCAAACAAAAGCTAAAGGTGGACTTGTCAGCGCTATTTTGCTGACGTGATGACAATCTAGCTTGGTAACCGCCTTTTTAAAGACATGTAAAAGCTTCAAAAACCATAAGTGGGCTATTTAATGACGTATTTTATACTGTAGAAAAAAAAAACTATTTTAAGCCCGTGTTAACCAGATCCTATTTCAGGCTTCCAACCAAAAATTCAGCAATAAAACTCATCAACTTTGAGAAGAGGGAACCCGAAGTCCAAAAATGATAACTTATTCATGGGTTTTAGGACTCATTCCTGCAGTACTTTATCACAGTAAGGAATGTGCATATGCTTGATAGTGATGGTCACTGGAGCACAGTTTACAAGTTCAGCGTGTTTACATGTTGGGTTTGGATTGTAATCACCCTTCCTGTTTGAAAGACAGAGGAACTCCCAGACCTAAACGTGGCAGAACACTGGAGAATGCACGTATACAGGACCTGTTTACTCCACAAAAGGCACTGCCTTCAACGCGTTTGTTTTCTTCAACTGAACTGTGCATTAAAGCATTACAGCAGCAATCTCATTATAATAGTTTATGAAAAAGAGTTTGTTGATTGGGCTTAAGTTACCTGTAAATGGTGGAGGTAGTGGTGGTGAATTAGTGCGTGCGCGCGAGCGAGAGAGGTGGAATCGCACACAACACTGTCTGATAAATTATAGCTGGTTTAAAGCAAAACCGTGAAATTTTTAAATTAAAAAAATTAATTAAATATGAATTCTCATTGGAAATGAAACACGCAGTACACTTTGCAGCTACAGCTTCACATGATCTGGTATAATCATCATGGTGGATAATGTTGCTTGTGTTAGCAAATATTAGATGTTGCTGTACAACTGACAGCATTGAGTGAGTTTACTGACTTTATGACTTTTCTCTATTTGTACAGCCATCAAGTCCTGAAGGAACACAAAGCTAATTTTAGAAGTCACTGGAAAGACCACCCCCACACCCACACCCACACACACGGGGGGGGGGGGGGGGTAAACATGGACTGCAAAACAAAACTCAAGTGGTGAAATTTGCCTGAATAACACGACCATGAAGATTTACTTCATACAGCTTCACACTGTCATGAGATTAAAAAAAGCTTTTTTTCTGTCACACAATTGTATAGCAACAGTGTAATTCAATTTTGCTGTGTTTTTTCGAGCAAAAATAAAAATGATGCAAGATGGGAGGGATCATAAGCCATCCTCCAGTGGTGACTTCAGCAATTCTAATTGCTCTTAATTGCTCGAGAGTTCCTCCCGACCAGACCGTTCCCCCAGAGCAGAGAGGTCCAAGCATCTGTACTACACACAGGACAAACATAAATAAAAGGTAGGTGCTTTTAATATTTCCTTTTAAAGACATTAAAAGTTTATTTTCTGTTCATTTATTGTCAGTATTATGGGGACACGGTCACTGTAGTCAGCCAGAAAAATGCTTTAAACTGCCCTCAAGCTCGACCAGCGCATGATGGCCAGACAGATAACGGTGAATGTTAACGGGGGTTGTATCGCTGTCTCCACCACTTACCCTAACATAGAACAAGTGCCCCGCACGATGTGCCACACAGCGACTAAACTTCAATGTCCTTGTTCAAATAACAGATTGGGCTCAATGGAAGTGAAGGTGTTGGTGGACGGTCTCCCACGCGTGGTGTGTGGCGTTACACAGGAAACCACATGTCAAGACATGGTCATAGCGTTGGCTCAAGCCCTGGGTATGTACATCCGTGGCTCTACCTATTAAAAATGATTTATGTTCTGGCATGCTGACAACCACAGTGTCGTCCTTCTCTGCAGGTCAACCCGGGCGCTACACGTTACAGGAGAAATTTAAAGACTTCGAGCGGTGCATGGCCCCCAACGAATGCCTTCTGGAGACTCTCGAGAAATACGGCGAGCAGGCCAGGGAGGTCCGGCTCACACTGCTCCACAACGGGCCCTCGGCCTGGGATGATATGAGCAGGGCAAAAGTCGGCCGGTACCAGCCCTGCCCGCCATTGAGAAGAAAAGACGCGGGCACCAGAATTCGGCGGTGTAGCGGCTCACTAGGACTGCATCGTCAAAGCTTGCCACCGCTGTCGTGTTCAAGGCAAGAGGCCGAGCAGCAAAAAAAAGAGGACCCGAAGAGGCCGAAAAGAAAGTCTCTGACGCTCATGGAGGAGGCTTGGGAATGGCTGGAGAGTCTGGGCAAAGGGAAGGTCTATAGTACTGCCCGTGACAAGGAAAGCAGTAGGAGGACAGATAAACAGGATCGTAGCTCTTTGGGCATTTCTCTCACTGTTGATGAAGGTAACTCAGGTCGAAGTAGTAAAAGCAAAGTCAGGAGTCAGAAAAGTCTAAAGTCAGACTTTGATCGTCGAACATCCTGCTGCATGGGAAGTCAGACGAGGGGGAAAGAAAGCAAACGCTTAGAGGCTAAATCAAATGTTTTGTCCAGTTCAAACGATGAGACACCGAAAGACGGTCTAAGAGAAACCATAATACATCAACTCAGCCGTCTGCAGGACTTGCAGGTCCAGATAGCAAACACGGACAGACTGATTTTGGAGCTCGAGGAAAAACAGGGGGTTAAAAAAGCCCAGCAGGAAGCCCAGCAGAGGACGGTCGAGGAGGAGACGGAGCAGATCAAGTTCTGGGAGAACGAGTTAAAGGCAGAGGAAGGCTACGAGAAAGATTTGCAACGCCAGTTCCTCGAGATGAGGGAAAACGCCACGGGATGCAAGGCCAAACTGGAGGATTACAAGCGCAAAATGCAGGGGCTTGATTTCTTCCCTGCTCAAGACACCGTTCAAGAAGACTCGAAAGCCGGTGCAAACGCTGCCACGGAGATTTCCGCTATCCCAACTGAGGACCTGAATGGGCAGCAATCTGATGTAGATGTTAGCAGGAAGTTCCCGCCCAGAGAGGACTTGAACCCTCCTCACGCTCGAGTTCCTCCCAGCCAGATAAAGGAGCGACGGCCCACGGGGCCCACCGAGCTGAGGGAGTGGTGGACGCGCTGGGCTCAGGCCCAAGTCCCTCAATCGCAGACTAAAAAGGCGGCGATTCACCGCTCTGAGCTCACCATCTATCTGGGCCGTACCAAGGTCTAGAATCACATGAACAGAGGTCACAAACATGAAGTCAGTGAATATTAGGGATGCTTCACTGCACACCAATTGTATGTGGTAGCGTAAACGTATGTTAGAAGTGCTCCCCTGTGAGTCTAACAGGAAGTGCTTCCATAAAAGAAAAAAAGAAAATATATAAATAAAACATTTTTTAAAAGGTTTGCGTCTTTTTTTGTGTACAGCACTTTTTATATAAACAGAAAACGAAAGAAGATTCACAAACTACATTAAATTTAAATGACATCTGCAGGTATAGGATTCCTCGTCATTGTTTCCAACCCCTGCACCTACAGTTCTGAATTATGGAATATATTGTAGCCTACATGCTACACTCTTACGGAGAGGGAAATCCAAAGCTTCAAGGAGACCGCTTCATCTGTGCATTTTGGGAATTCTGTCCAAAATGAGGGAAAATTAACTTTTTGTAGTCAACTGCCCCGTGTCCTCAAAAACAGCATCACAACTCCATAAAAAAAAAAAAGAAAAAAAAAAAAAAAAAAAAAAAAAAAAAAATGATACGATGCATTTTACGGTTCTCTGTAACTCAAATAACTGTACGTCTCAAGAGAGCTGGTGCAAGTTTAGAGGGGCGGGACTGAACTGAAAGCTTCCATTGAGCCATTTGTAAGTTGTGTCATCTTCTGAGAGCCCCCGTGTTAATGACACTGAAGCACACTGCTATACATATGCACCTTTGTCTTTTTGTTTTCACCAACAAATTTCTGCAAATGTATTTATTTATGAGGTTATTTCTTGCACGCAAGTGTACACTGGAGTGTATTGGTCAACATAATAAAATGGTTTTCAGAGCTACTTAATGCTTGGTTTGTTTTTCTTAATTCAGTGAAATAAGACAATTACAAAACCGCATGTGATTTTCATAAAACTTTAATTCAATTGTTTCATTCAAGACCATTAACAAAAGTACATGAGAACCTCTGTTCGTGGTTCAAAAGAAACCCCGTGATCTCCAAAATTTATTTTTTTGACAGTAACTTAATGTGCAGAGGCACAAGAGCTCACCCACGTCTCCAGCGCTCCATAACTTGTAACCCGATTCTTAATGCTTTTTTTCTCTCCCTTATTTTTTCTACTGAATTTGTAATACTTTACCTTTCTCATTCTTTAAGTTAAATTAGTTTTTTTTATATCTGAATATTTCAATGAACTTTCATTAAGCACAAAAAAGAAAAAAGAAAAAAAAGAGCACACATTACATACAGTATAGTTCAACCCACAGGTTTGGGATGCATATCAGTATTATTTCTACTAGAAAAGAAAGCCACCCTTAGATTGTTCTGAGTGTTTTGGCGGTTGGCTGAGAACAGAAGATACATCTAATTTTTTGTTTATTCTTTTTTTTTTCATTTTATTTTGCTTGTAGTTTTGAGGCACCTTATTCCTAATTCAATATTAGCAGATTGAGTTTCAATGAAAAAAAGCAAAAACATGTGCAAGAAAAAAAAACAAAAAAACATTATAAAATAACTGCAGAGATAAGATGCCACAAGGAATTCTGCACCTGGGAAAAATTGCTTATGTGGAGCATGTGAATACCAAAAAGGTTTCTAAAGGCTCCAGTTTGTAAAAGTAAATTCCATCAGATCAACTACATTGACGTAC